AACGTATAAACAACTTACAAAGTTTTATATAATATTTTATATTTTGTAACAATGTATAAATGTACAAAATTTTACTTGGCGCTACTTATTGATATCATTTCTTTTGTAGAATAGATTTTGTAGAGAAAGATTGTTTTAGTAATACATTCTCTAGAGATACGAGTTGCGCATGTACTTGGCGCCTTTTTTTACCTTTTTTTGAAAAGATATTTTGCTCGAGATATCACACATTTTTGTAGAATATGTTTTTGACAAACATTTTTTTCAATATAATACAATGCAATTCTACATAATAACAATAACATATGTATAACAGAATAATACATATAACAAACCATTACAAAAAAGAACTACTGCCGATTACATATAACTAAAGTCAGTAATATAAATATTACTGACAATCACACAAGAATATTATTAGGTATTACAGGAATCACTGAGAATATTACTGGCAATTACACAGAATGCCAGTAATTCTTTCGTACCACTGCCAGTAGTTCTTTTTCGTAAAGGAAGTGATGAAAGTATTTGCATGTATTTAATTTTTTAATGTAGATTCTAATCATATTTGGCAAGAAATTTTTACTATTGTTTCTATCTGGTGCAAAAGTATTAAAATGGATAATTATTTTAAGCAATTAAATATTTTATATTTGGGTTTAGTTTTTCTTAATTTTTTCTAAAAAGAGTATGTAAATATTTTTAGCCCCTCTAAGTTATTTTGGTTTATTAATTGTCCCATTATCAGCTTCAATCCAATTAGAATAATGACTGTTTTCTATACATGATTCGTGATGAAATATTGCATTTATGACTTTATACAACTGTCTATTTACTGATATTTTAGTTGTTGGGACTGCAAATAAGGTAAATTAAAATCAGGCTTTAATAATCTGCAATACCAAAATCACTTATTATATAATTTCATGTTATAAGTAGTATCTTTATTTTTTATCCTTACTCATACAGCACACAAATATTGCATATACATTGCAGAAATCTTTCACCGTAATGTTGCAATATTGCCATTTCACTATGAAATATTGATGCATCATTGTTGTTGAATTGCAGCAACGTTCAAATGTCCGCTTTTAGGAAAATTACAACAAAACATCAAAGCAATATTGCAATGTAACACATATGCAATAATGCAGTGTTACTGCAATCATTAAGTAATATTGCATATAAAAATAGTTTTATTTTTTTATAGATTGCATTAAAAACACATGAAGATATATGAAAGAAGGAAAAGCTTCATATAAACACAAATGCAATACTTTTATCTAAGATATGTATTATAAACCTATATATACATATATATTTTTTTAAAGTATTGTATTTGTGTTCAAAAAAATACAATAGTGTGTATATATTATGTGTGTGTGTGTGTGTATGCGCGCACGCGTATATATATACATACATATAAAATTAAATACAATACTGTAATTGAAAAAATATGTTATTTATGTATAACTTTATATTGTATATTTTAGATATACAATTATTGCAAAGTTTTGTTTATATAAAGGTTTTCCCTATTTCATATATCCTCTCATATGTTTTATTCTAAAACAGAAAAGATCTTGTATAAATATGTTAAAACTCTTGAAAAATATATATATTTATTTTTAGTATTCTTATAACAAGCCTATATCTTAATTGCTATCACAATTTTTTTATATACAATAAAATATTATCAAAAATTATTTTATTATCATATTTCATTAATAAGATATTTATATATCACACTAATTATTGTACATTACAAAATTTTGTTTTTGCAATGATTTTAAAATATTACTGTTATTTTGCTACACGTGCGCTAATATTTTGCGGATTTATATCTGTGCAATGTCTTCTTGCGATGTTGGATTGCAATTTGCAATGTTGCAACGTTGCAATGCTGCAATATAGTTGCAATAAACTGTGCTGCATGGGTACCTCTTTAACACCAAAAATATATAATTGTCTTTTTTTATTTTTTATCGGAAATACACTTTGTGTGTTGTACAACAATTAGAAAAGCAGCATATAATAATACATAAGCGCAGCGTGAGACTTGCGATTTTTTTACTCACGTTACGTCTCGTGTAAAATTCTCAATCAATCAATCGGCTCTACTTGCAAATAAATGAGACACGTGGTACCCAGCGTTGCCGTGGAACTTGCCACACGTGACGTCACGTGGTACCTCGCGCAGCGCGCACACACTTTGCGCACATACTTGGCGCGAGGCACTGCCTCTTGATCATAGAGCTTATACTCATGGAGAGGCCCTGCGACCGCAAGGAGGATCGACAAAGAGAGATATATTTTTCTGTTTCAACTGTGGCCACTTCTTATAGAAGAGAATAACAGAGAACACGGAGTAGGGGAGCCACAGTTGAGACAAAATATATCGAAATATATCTCTCTTTGTCGATCCTCCCGGCGGAGCCCTCTCTATGGTTAGCATATAGGCAAGGCCTCTCCATGAGTGTAAGCTCTATGCTCTTGATAAACATCTATACTGCGTTCAATTTGAGAAGAGAAACCAGATAAACAAAACATTCGCGCACTTCCCTTACTAAAAAATCTCTCATCTGCAGCCTTGGCTGTTAAGTGTTTCACCAACAATTCCAAACGCTTTCTTTACGCTACTTTGCCTGCTTTTCTTTCCCTAGCATAGTAATAAAATTCTCTTCTCAAATTGAACGCATACATACATTGTGCACGAAAGTGTCGCTTCATAGTAACGACGAAGAGAAAAGGCACGTTTTGTCGCACGGTGAAGTCACGTATTATACTGTCCGACGACAAAGTTTCTTAAACCTAATTTTTTGGGATTTTGGACTTTGTATCAAGATATCTCTGTTGAGTAAGAAAAAAATCGCAAAATACTTTCTTTCGTCCTTTGACTTCAACTTTCGATTAAGTCTAGGCCGAACTCGATCAATTTAGCCGTTGTTGAGATCTGAAAATCTCGGAAATTCTCATCGGCCATTCTCGCGTATAAGAGGCACGAGGTACCTTGCTCAACGCGCGCGCACTTCGTTTGTGCATATACTTGGCGCGAGGCACTACTGTGCCTCTTGATACAAGGTGGGAAAAAATATCTATGTATACATACAGGGTGTCCAACAATTACTTTAAAATCTCTCGTAGGCAGAAGGAGTAAGATTGAGTCAAAAAGTCCTGAACTATTTGTTTCTATTACATATAATAAAAGAGTAATTATTGAATAAATCAAGCCAATCAGCGCTGACCTTTAGCCAAACGCACGTCAGTGAACCACGCGCCTGGTGTGCGTGAGCGCTCCACGCGGCTCATTGACGTGCGCCGGCTAAAGGTCGACGCTGATTGGCTTGATTTATTCAATAATTACTTTTTTATTATATGTAATAGAAAAAAAAATAGTTCAGGACTTTTTGACTTAGTTTTACTTCTTCTACTTGCTTATAAGAGCTGTTAAAGTAATTGTCAGACACCTTGTATATATATGTACAGGATGTCCCGTAATTGGTGTAACATCTCTCGTAGAAGGAGGAAAACTAAGTCGATAAGTCCTATATCTATTTTGCTAGATTTGCAATAGTTATCGAAATCTTAATTAACAAAGATCAGCGAATAAGCATGCATCGGACTGTCTTACGCGCGTAAGACAGTCAAGTGCGCTTTGCGCGCTTACGGTGTTACCCGTAGCAACATATGAGAGGAGCTAATTTAACAGCATATACTCTATAACATATACATATTAAAATGTAATTGTGCGAAGCGCGCCGGACTGTCCTACGCGCGTATATATATAAGACAGCCCGATGCATGCTTATTCGCTGATCTTTGTTAATTAAGATCTCGATAATTATTGCGAATCTAGCAAAATAGATATAGGACTTATCGACTCAGTTTTACTTCTTCTACTTGTCTACGAGAGATGTTACATCAATTCTGAGACACCCTATATATATACGCATATGTCCGCAACAACATTTAGCGTACGGCTTTTATTACCATTTATATATTTGCGTTTAGAAACTTCAAAGCTTTCTTTATTAATTATAATATATCCTTTGCATTTTATATAATTATATGTAGAAGTCAATATACATTGGAATTGCAATGGGAGCTTAATTTATTTTTTCTTTTTCGATTACTTTGAGGTACACTCAAAACTTTGAATTATATTATTATCTTACACACAATTTATATATATCAATTATAACATTCAATAATATCTACTCTTTATATCGACAACGAACAACAAAAAAATTCTTTGCTAAAATCTTCTATAGAATTTCTTCCTCTCTCCTTCCTGACCGAAGAACGGTCGCTTCTATAGAAACGAGTACTGATATCTGACCTAAGCGAGACTGTAAACATTCCTTCACTGGAAGTTTTCAAAGATATTATATTCAAATGCTATATTCGAATGTGTTGCACGTTAATACAATTATATAAAATGGGAAAAATATAATACAATTTAATTAACTTTTAATACACTTTAATAACACAAAAAAAAGAAAAGAAAACTTACCGATGGCGGGATTTGAATCCGCATGTCTCGAGTTACAATGCAAGCTCCTAATCAACTGAGCCACTCAAACTGCTTGCAAATACTCTCAACGTAACGGCTTTTCCAGTACACCCAGAAAGCGGTCTATTTTCCAAAAGTAAAAACTTAAAATCTAAAGCTTATTAGAACAAACGGCCAAACAAGGAATTTCTTTTTTGACCTGTAAAACTATCAAAAAATTGGCATCAAATGTCAGGTTCTATCACTTCTGATCCTCTCCTTGTTACTCAAAATATTTCAGACATCTTGTATATGTATCATTTTATTTAATTTGAAATTTTCAGAATTATAGTTTGATTATTTAATTAATATTTCTTCTTTATTTCCAAATATTACAAAAGTGTGCACATAATAGTAATGAACATTTACAATTCCAGTGTTTTTTAACTATTTCTTTAGATTTTTCTTCTTGGAATCTTTAAATAAAAAACTTTTCTATTGTCTGTAGGTATTACAAAAAACTTCATCAAGTCACTCTTCTCACTCCAGTGGCAAGTCTGTGTCCAGTACAAAAGTGATCTGTACACCGTTGAAAACAGTTACACAATCAAATCACCACTCAAAATCATCACCACTCAAAGTTGTTCAACAAGGTTCTTTAACTCCTTTGCCAGAAGCGCAAAACTCAATAACTCTTCAGGTGTCCACCAATCTGAGCCCATCATCACAAGAGCAACAAACAATACAGAATAGCGTGACGCTGGCTTCCAATACGACTAGCACGACGACTATTTCCGGCTCGTCTGGTACGAAGATCTACGTTCAACAGAATAACTCGCCAATGAGATCCGTAATTACTTTTGAAAATGGCACAGTGAAAACAAAGATTGCTGAGAAGGAAATCATTGACTGCAAAGAGAAACAGGAAAAAGAATTGGTTACGGAAAAGACTTATAAAACTCGAGTAAGTAACGAGAAGCTCTTCAAATCGAAGTTAGATGAAGAAAAATTGAATAAATCAATCAAAGTTGAGCGTCCGTCAACGCTTTATGCAACAAAAGAAACAAAAACAAATACTTTGTTATCAGAATCTGATAAAGAAAATAAACCGAAAATTGAAGAGGAAGTGCCTAACAAAATGAAACTAACAAACCGCATGAACAACAGTCAGGTTCACTTATTCGACGGGTCTGCCAACAATGTCGACAAAAATGCTTTAATACATGAGACAGCCGCCGCGTTGTCCAGTACAAAAAACACAAATGATGCGATGAACAACTCGCGCAAACTTAGTCTGTCACTCAGCAAAGATACATTAAGCTATCGCAATCTATTGCATCCCGACTCGAAGAACAACATAGCTTCAAACCCTCCATCGCCTACTAAATCCTACGACTGTTTTAGTGACTCCTTCAACGATGTCTACATTGAAAATCTAGAGACGGTAAAACAGCACCAGGCTCCTCAGGGATCTGAGCCTAATTTAGAAAAGATCATGAGTCGAGGTTCGGACTTGCACTCTTATCCTAGTCTCAGCGATATGCAAGTGCAATTTACCAGCTTGGCAGCGCAAAAAATCCTCAAGGGCTGCCCGATCAACAGCGTTGACACTCTGGTAGAAGTAAATATGGCAGCAACATCCGATAAGACTAATAACTGTGATGTTACAGTTCATACCGACTTTGGTCTCGTTTGAATTCCATTATCAAACAAACGCTATCCGTCGATTAAATAATAAATGAAGAAGCTGTGATCCTTTTATCACATTTTGACATGTTTGTGTCCGTAAAAAGTAATGTGCCTCAAGGCAAACAACATTCGAAAGTATATCGCTACCGCCTTTGATTTTCGCATTTTAGAATAAACAAATTATTTTTATGTAAAAGCTACAGCTTGCATACAGAAGATATATATAGAATATGCATAATAGTTACCAGTGAACTTGTCGCTTCTTCTTTTGTGAATCTTTTAACAAACGTTCATACTTATTCAAATATTTTTTACAACATACATGTTATATTGTTAAGTACTGAAACACCGTTCTATAATTTATAATTCTAAAGTTATCACAAAGAAGTGCTAGATTGTCTTGTACTTTTTGATATTTACAATTAGACTTGGTTCTCTTTACATTTTAAAACAATATAAATATATTCGAATACTACGCATATTATAATGTTGTAACATTTGGCGGTTTTGCATTGCTTTACTCAAGTTAAAGCGATTTGTCAAAGCATCTTATGTTCAACAATCAGACGTGCCACAAGCGTCAAATGAGAAAAGAGAGATAAGAAGTTAAAAAACAGTGAAAACAAGAACATTATTACTTTAAATACATATGTGTAGATAATTTTATTTTATTTTACATTTTATATTTTTACGGCGACACAACTTTGTAACCTTTACCAATAAACAGAAATTAAACAGTACAGTACAATTTTTGGCAAAATCTTTATAGTATAGTATAGTATAGTATAGTATAGTATAGTATAGTATAGTATAGT